AAACCTTTAGATGAAGCAACACCTTGCTTCACCTTGCTAAAAAATAACCTCCCTTAGTCTTCTTTTGGGTCACACCAACCCTTACAACTTGAAGCTAGCTTGCTTTTTCTTCCTTAGGCCACACCAGCCCTTACAAATGAAGATCAGATTTGTTGCATACAAATATGTCTCTCCAAGATTGATATGCAAATATTAGCTCACAACTTTCAGCTCACTCTAGAGTATATATATGAATATATTGAAGCTCAATACTCTATGAATGATATGGGATGAGAGAGTATGATATGAATGAAGAACAAAAGCTCTTTGGATGCTGTATAATGTTTCTCAATTGTAGCAACACTAAATCTCGAAGTCCCTAGCTCTATTTATAGAGTTTTGATAAGCCAATTCAAAAATATAGCTGTTGTGCACACTGTCCGAAAGGAAATAGCCGTTCAAATTTGAATCTGGGTAGGTTCGGTCAACTGAACTGAAACACCATTGTGTTTCGGTCATCTGAAATGGTTCAAGGTTGGCTGTTACTCTTGTTTCGGTAGACCGAAGAAAACTTCCATAAGTTTCGGCCGACCGAAAGTCCTTTCTCCTTTGTTCTAAAGCATTCTGTGAGAATCGATCGTCCAATTCATATTGCCTTTTAGTTTCGGTCGTCCGAAACACCTAGTAGTGTTCTTTCATTAACTTATTTCGGTAGACCGAAATGAATTGGTCCTTTGTTTCGGTAGGCGGAACTAGAATTGGTACTTCAGAAATTATTCTAAGTTAACAGATGAAATAGTATGTGTATAGGACATCTACACATACCTTATTTCCATTGAAAATATTTAAGTAAATATCCATTTACTTTAAGTTTACAATGTAAATAAGGAAGTACCCCCCATTTGGATTCAATAAAAATAACTAGAAAATTGAAATCCAACTAAATCAAAATGTAGAAATTCAGTTTTAGTACAAATTTGGATTTCCGACAGTTTTGGTAAAATTGAATCCTTATGTAGACCAATGTAGACTTAGTCAAAAATTCTGATAAAATCAGTTTAGGCTAGTTTAAGTATAACGAGTTATTACCGGAAAAATTTATTTTGAAATAATTATTATTTCAAAATTTCATTTTTCACACTTAGCCAAAAACACAGTTTTTCGTAACGTGCATTCTGGGGTCCTAATATCCATTACCAACTCATGGTAATGAAGGCTTCTCATGTCTTAATTGTTGACCAATATGAATTATACGATTGATGTACATAGTCTTAGCATTTCTAGCACAAATGATGAGTTCTTTCAAAGCTTATGCAAGCTTAAACTAACTCACTCTTTAGCAATGACTTCATGTGCAATTGTATATGAATGAAGTGCATAGTCTATTGCTAATGGATATAGGAGCATATGAATGATGATATGATATGCATGGTCTTATAGAGATGAGCTTCAAATGGATTCATAAATACTTTGACATTGAATCCTAAACACTCACCATCCTATCTACCCTTTTCTTCAAGCTTTGTCCATGATCGTGTAGGCTTTCAGGTAGACTTGTTTTCTTCCTTCCTTTGAGTTGCTTTCTTGCTCATTGTAGTCCAAGCTATCTTTGGATGGACTTTGCATTTGGCTCCTTGTAACTCATGGTGTCTTCTTTGTATCCATTGCTTTCTTTAGATGTGATCTTGAGTAATGAAATACTTGGAATTCACTTTATGATCGGCATTGAGGTCATCCTTTGAATGTGAATAATCTATAACACTCAATGTAAACATTAGTCCTTAAACACCATTAATGGTTTGTTATCATCAAAACCTCTAGATTGTCCTTGGATGAAATCCTTAAGGTCAACAGGAAGGATATGGCTCAACCTCCCATAGTATATGATAATACTTGTTATTGATGTGGAATGATTGGACATTGGCAAAACATTTGTCGTACACCTTAGCATCTGGCTTAACTTTACCAACCTCAATAAAAGAAAAGGGGAAACGAAAAGAAATGAATTTCATTAATGATGATGAGCAGTTGACATCACATATCTAGATGTATCAGGTTTTTTTGAGAACTGTGATGAAAAGATAGACCACCTAATTGGTAATGGAAATGTCCACACCAATTAATCATATTTTCACACCAATTAATCATATTTTCATTTCATATTCTTTCTATTATGTTATCTTCAACAAGTTTTTATTTTCCTTGTATTAAAGTTTTTTTAGTATTCAAGTTTGTATTAAAGTTTCTTTTATTAAATTTATTTCTTTTCTAATAAAGAAATTTGCATGAATATGAATGGATCCGACTGGTTCTAAAATAAATGGTGAAGATATATATCTTGCTGATAGTGGAACGACACATACAATCCTTCGAGATCAAAAATATTTTTCTCACCTAACTTTGACAGATGCTAGTGTTAATACAATATCAGGTCCCACCGACTTGATTGAAGGCTTTGGACGAGCCAACATTATTTTACCACGTGGAACAAGATTACAAATTAATGATGCCTTATATTCTACAAGATCTCAAAGAAATCTGTTGAGTTTTAAAGACTTGCGTCGTAATGGGTATCATATTGAGACCGTAAATGAAAGAAATGTGGAATATCTTTACATTACTTCCATTACCTCATGCAAGAAGCTGATATTAGAAAAACTTCCTGTTTTTCTTCTAAGTTAAACTATATAACTATCAAGACAATTGAGTCAAATGTTGTGATACATAAAAAATCTTGTGACTCAAAACTTTTTATGCTTTAGCACGATCGACTTGGTCACCCGGGGAATACAATAATGTGTCAAATTATTAAAAATTCACATGGACACCCACTAAAGGATCAAAAAATCACCTTACCAAATAATCATCTATATACCGCCTGCTCACAAAGCAAGTTGATTATTAGACCATCCCCTTCAAAAGTTATTATTGAATCTCTCCCATTTTTACAACGAATTCATGGGAATATATATGGGTCAATTTATCCACCCTGCGGACCATTTCGCTATTTTATAGTCTTAATTGATGCCTCAACACGATGGTCACATGTTTGTTTGTTTTCTACTCGTAATGTTGCATTTGCTAAAATTCTTGCTCAAACCATCAAATTGCGGGCATATTTTCCTGATTACCCAATTAAGACAATCTGTCTTGATAATGCCGCTGAATTTTCTTCTCAAGATTTTGATGACTATTGCATGTCTATTGGAATTAATGTTGAACATCCTGTTGCACACACTCATACTCAAAATGGTTTGGAAGAATCTTTTATTAAAATACTTCAATTAATTGGTCGTCCTTTACTTATGTGAACAAAATTACCTGTTTCTGCCTGGGAACATGCCATATTACATGCTGCATCATTAGTTCGTATACGACCTACTGCTTACCATAAGTTTTTACTATTGCAACTTGTTTTTGGTCAACAACTTAATATCTCTCACATACAAGTTTTTGGTTGTGCTGTATATGTTCCAATTGCACCACCCCAACGCACTAAAATGGGTCCTCAACGTAGACTTGGAATTTTTGTTGGTTTTGATTTTCCATCTATTATTAGATATCTTGAACCCTTAACAGGTGATATCTTTAAAGCACGATTTGCTAACTATCATTTTGATGAAGTTGTTTTCCCAGCATTAGGGGGAGAAACGGCACATCAGTAACGCGATATTGCTTGAAATGCCCTGGAATTGTCTTATTTTGATCCTCGCACAAGTCAATGTGAAAGAGAAGTTCAGAGGATCATTCACTTGTAAAATGTTGTAAATTAATTACATGATGCATTTATTGATACAAAAAAAGTAATAAAATCACATATACTAACTGCAAATATTCCAACACAAATTGTTGACCTTAAGGACCTTCTGTCAATAGTGTAGCAAATGCATCTAAATCATGCCTAAAGCATGGCAGGCCAGTTGGTGCAAAAGATACTGAAATCATAAAGTAAAATTGGCACTCATGAAGAGGCCATAAAAAGAGCAACGGATATTATTAATCAATCTGAGATTATAGCCTTTGATAAGGCAGAGGCTCTTGATGGGGCCCAGGTACCTAAAATGATGAAATAATAAATATTGATGAGGCAAAGGTAACCGGCCCTTGATGAGGCACGGGTACCTGAAAATGATGAGATCTCAATAAATTATGGAATGAGATGGAATAAAAATGAAATTGTTGTCGACAACATATTCTCATATGTCGTTGCTCTTGATATTAATAATGACGATCCAAAACCTCAAAATGTCAAAGAGTGTCAACGAAGAAATGATTGGCCAAAATGGAAAGAAGTGATACAAGCAAAGCTAAATTCATTAGCTAAACATGAAGTATTTGGACCTGTAGTCCAAACACCTGAGGGTGTTAAGCCTGTTGGGTACAAATGAGTATTTGTATGAAAACGTAATGAGAAAAATGAAATCATGAGATACAAAGCCTGACTGGTAGCTCAAGGTTTCTCACAGGGACCTGGTATTGATTATGAGGAAACATACTCCCATGTGATTGATGCAACCACATCTAGATTCATAATACATTTGGCTGTCACAGAAAGATTGCATATGTATCTAATGGATGTGGTTACATCATATTTATATGGATCACTAGATAGTGATATTTGTATGAAAATCCTAGAATGATTTAAAATGCCTAAAACAAAACCACGTAGTATGTACTCGATCAAATTACAACGATCCTTATATAGATTGAAACAATCTGGATGAATGTGGTACAATCGCCTTAACGATTACTTACCCAAAGAAGGGTATGTGAATAATCATCTTTGTCCATGCATTTTTATTAACAAATTAGAATCTAGTTGTTGTCGTATATGTTGATGATTGGAATCTTGTGAGAACATTGGACGAGATCGAAAAGATGACCACTTATTTAAAGAAAGAATTCAAAATGAAAGATCTCGAAAAGACAAAATTCTTCCTTGGGATGTAGGTTGAATATTTTCGAGCAGTATTCTTATCCATCAATCAACATATACAGAAAAGGTTCTGAAACATTTTTATATGGATAAAGCCCATCCGTTGAGCTATCCAATGGTTGTCCGATCACTTGACGTTAAGAAATATCATTTTCATCCTCAAGAGGTTGATGAAGAACTCCTTGGTCCTGAAGTGACCTATCTCAGTGTGATTGGTGCTCTTATGTATCTTGCAAATTGCACATGGCCTAACATAGTTTTTTCAGTTAATTTGTTAGCAAGGTACAGTTCTGCACCACCCCGCAGACATTGGAATGGAATCAAACACATATTACGATATCTTCGTGGTACAATTGATATGGGATTGTTTTATTCAAAAGAACCAAATTCTCAATTAATTGGATATGCAGATGCCGGCTATCTCTCTGACCCACATAAAGCTCATTCACAAACAGGATATGTGTTTACCTGTGGTGGCACTGCTATATCACGGCGATTTATGAAACAGACAATGATTGCAACTTCTTCAAATTATTTTGAGATACTCGTAATACATGAGACAAGTACGAAATGCATTTGGTTAAGATCAATGTTCCAACATATTCGAACAACATGGGGTCTCTCATCAATAAAAGATAGCCCAACAGTATTATATGAAGATAATGCAGCTTGCATTGCACAGATGAAAGAAGAGTATATTAAAAGTGACAGGACCAAGCACATCTCACCAAAATTATTTTATGCACATGAACGTAGAAAAAAGGTGATATTGATATTCAAAAGATATGTTCATATGAAAATCTAGCAGATTTATTCATTAAAATGCTTCCAACTACAACATTCAAGAAACTGGTGCACAACATTAGAATACGTCAACTAAAGGATCTTCAGGGTTGATCTAATGCAATAATGAGGGGGAGCAATTAATCGAAGAGGTAATGGCATATTGTACTCTTTTTCCTTCATCCAGGTTTTGTCCCACTGGGTTTTCCTGGCAAGGTTTTAATGAGGCAGTCATTTGAACCAATTGTATTAGGTTCCTTCGTCACTTCAGTTTAGGTACCATCATTACTTTTGTTCAAGTTGTCTTCCAATTCATAATCTAAATGCATGTACTGAAAGTGCATTAAAGAATATGGAGCCTACAGATATATAACACTCTCCCTTGGGGTCCAATATGCTACACTAAGAATATGCCTTATTAAAACCTTGTCAGGAAAACCCATTAGGACAAAACCTAAGCGAAGCAAAAAGAGTATAGTATTCTTATGTGTCTGAAAAAAAAAAAGTATTGCATGGTTTAGAACTGCCTCATTAAAACCTTACTAGGAAAACCCATTGAAACAAAACATGAGCGAAGGAAAAAGAGTACAGTAAATGTCAATACCTTTTTAAGTACTCCCCCTCATCAGTGCCAAAGATCTTTAAGTTGTCGGATCCCATTATTGTGTACCAATTTCTTGAACGTCATGGTTGATAGTGCCTTAGTGAACATGTCTGCTAAATTTTCACATAAACGTATTTGCTGAATATCAATTTCACCATTCTTTTGGCGTTCATGTGCGTAAAAGAATTTTGGTGAGATGTGTTTAGTCCTGTCACTTTTGATATAACCCTCTTTCATCTGCGCGATGCATGTGATATTATCTTCATATAATATTATGGGGCTATTTGTTATTGATGAGAGGCCACATGTTATTCTAATGTGTTAGATTATAGATCGCAACCAAATGCATTCCCTGTTTGCTTCATGAATTACGAGTATATCAGAATGATTTGAGGAAGTGGCAATCATTGTCTGTTTCATAGAGCGCTATGAGATAGCAGTGCCACCACAAGTAAACACATACCCTGTTTGTGATTCAGCTTGATGTGGGTTAGAGAGATAACCAGTATCTGCAAATCCAATTAACTGGGATTTTTATTCTTTTGAATAAAACAATCCCATATCAATTATTCCACGAAGATATCGCAATATATGTTTGACTCCATTCCAATATCTACGAGTTGGTGTAGAACTGTATCTTGCTAATAAGTTGACTGAAAAAATAATGTCAAGTCATGTACAATTTGCAAGATACATAAGAGCACCAATTGCACTAATATATGTTACTTCCGGACCAAAGAGTTCCTTGTCATCTTCTGGAGGTCGAAAAGGATCTTTCTTAACATCAAGTGATCGGACAACCATTGGCAAGCTCAAGGGATAGGCTTTATCCATATAAAAATGCTTCAGAACCTTCTCTGCATATGTTGACTAGTGGATATAGATTCCTCTTGATAAATGTTCAATTTGCAGTCCCAGACAAAAAGTTGTCTTTCCGAGATCTTTCATCTCGGATTCTTTCTTTAAATAAGTGGCAGTCTTTAGGAGCTCTTCAGAGGTTCCCACCAGATTCAAATCATCAACTTTTACTGCAATAATAGCAAAACCCTATTCTGTTTTGTTAATAAAAATGCATAGACAAAGATGACTATTCACATACCCTTGTTTTATTAAGTACTCGCTGAGGTGACTATACCACATGCGCCCTGATTACTTCAATACATACAAAGATCATTATAATTTTATTGAGTACATACTACGTGGTTTTGTTTCTGGCATTTTGAAACCATCAGGAATCTTCATGTAAATATCATTATCTAATGATCCATATAAGTATGTTGTTAGCACATCCATTAGATGTATATGCAATCTTTCAATGACTGTTAAATGTATTATGAATCTAAAAGTGTTTGCATCCATTATCGGATAGTATGTTTCGTCATAATCAATACCCAGTCTCTGTGAGGAATCTTGAGCTACCAATCGAGCTTTATATCTCACAATTTCATTTTTCTGATTACGTTTGCGTACAAATACCCAATTATATCCAACAGGCTCAACACCCTCGGGTGTTTGGACGACTGGTCCAAATACTTTTCATTTAGCTAATGAACTTAGCTCTACCTATATTACTTCTTTCCATTTCAGCCAATCATTTCTTCATCGACATTCTTTGACATTTCAAGGTTCCGGATCCTGTAATGACCCACTCCATCATATGGTATGATATTGTCCGCTTTGAGCTGAGCCTGCACGATTTTGCTCTTAGGGTTTACTCCAAAGGGCCTCATACCAATTGGAATGACACATCTACATATAAGCACTTTACCTTTCTCTTACCCAGACAATGTAGGATTGTTCTCCCATAGCTCTCCAGTGTGGTAGCCTGCCAGTGTCTCACACCCGCCCATAGGGTCATCACAATCCACCCCCCTTAGAGGCCCAATGTCCCCGTCGGCATAATTCTGACTAGGTCAGGCTCTGATATTATTTGTAACGACCCACTCCACCATATTGTATGATATTTTCCGCTTTGAGCCTGAGCCCGCACGGTTTTGCTCTTGGGCTTTACCCCAAAAGGTTTCATACCAATTGGAGTGACACACCTATGTATAAGCACTTCATCTTTCTCTTACCTAGGCAATATGGGATTGTGCACCCGTAGCTCACCAGTGTGGTAGCCTACTAGTGTCTCGCACCCGCCCATGACACATCTGCCCACAGGGTCATCACAGATCCTCATTTTCAATATCAAGAGCAACGGAATATAAGAATATTTTGTCGATAGCAATTTCATCTCTATTCCACCTTATTTCATAATTTAATGAGATCTCATCATTTTTAGGTATTATTACCTTATCAAGGGCATGTACCTCATTAAGGGCCACATTATCATCATTTATTGTCTTTGCCTCATTAAGACTTATCATTTCATCAGTTTTAGGTACCTGGGCCTCATCAAGGGCTATAATTCCATATTTATTGATAATTTATATTGCTTTTTTGTGGCCTCTTCAGGAGCACCAACTTTTCTTTGTGTTTACCTCTTGCGATGAACAACATCTTTTACACCAACTTGTCTTCCACGTTTCAGCTGTATTCTAGATGCATTTGCTGCAACAGTGACAGATTGTCCCACAGGGACATCAATTTTTGCTGGAACATTTGTAGCTAGTATATGTGATTTTATTACTTTCTTTGTATCAGTAAGTGCATCAAGTAATTGATTTGCAACATTTTGCAAATGAATAATCCTCTGAACTTCTTTTTCACATTAATTTATACGAGGATCAAAATGAGACAAATTTAAGGCATTTCAAGTGATCTCATTATGCCTTTCAAAAATTTTATTTTCTCCCCCTAATGGTGAGAAAACAACCTCATTAAAATGACAGTCGGCAAATCGCGCTTTAAATAAATCACCTGTCAAGGGCTCAAGATATCCAATGATAGAAGGATAATCAAAATCAATATATATTTCAAGTTTACGTTGAAGACCCATTTTATTACGTTGTGGTGGTGCAATAGGAACATATACTGCACAACCAAAAACTCGTATGAGAGATTTTTGGCTCTTGTCCAAACATAAGTTGTAATAGTGAAAATTTATGGTAAGCAGTTGGTCGTATGCGAACTAATGACACAGCATATAATATGGCATGTCCCGAAGTAGAAACAGGTAATTTTGTTTACATAAGTAAAGGTCGACCAATTAACTGGAGTCTTTTAATAAAAGATTCTGCCAAACCATTTTGAGTATGAGTGTGTGCAATAGGGTGTTCAACACTAATTCCAACTGACATGCAATAGTCGTTAAAAGCTTGAGAAGAAAATTCAGCGGCATTATCAAGACGGATTGTCTTAATTGGATAATCAAAAAAATGTGCCTGCAATTTGATAATTTGAGCAGGGAGTCTAGTAAATGCAACATTACGAGTAGAAAATAAATAAACATGTGACCACTATGTTGAGGCATCAATTAAGACCATAAAATAACGAAATGGTCCGCAGGGTGGATGAATTGGATCACATATATCCTCGTGAATTCATTGTAAAAAGGTGGGGGATTCAACAATGACTTTTAAAGGGGATGGCCTAATAATTAACTTGTCTTGTGAGTAAGCAGTACATAGATGATTATTTGGTAAAATGAGTTTTTGATCCTTTAGTGGGTGACCATGTGAATTTTCAATAATTCGACGCATCATTGTAGTCCCTGGGTGACCAAGTCGATCGTGCCAAAGTATTAAAAGTTTTGGGTCCCAAGATTTTTGGTGTGACAGCCCAAGTTTTACAACCCGGTGCGTCAGTGATGACCCAAAAGTTGATCCGGTAATGGATCCGAAATGCAAAAGTGAAAGATAAATTCAAAGTCTTTAGAGATAGAGATCATCCCTAAGACACCAATGTGACCTTCCCAAGGATTCCTGAGACCCAACTGAAGCAAAACGGAGACAAATGTATCAAAACCTACAAGAGAAGGACTAGGGATAAAATGGTCATTTTACCCTAAGTGGAGTGAATTTAACTTACAATAAGTCAAATGAGATAAAAAATAAATAAATAAAATAAATAAATAAAAATAATACTCAAAAACATCATTTGGGAACTTCACATGAATACCCAAGGCCAAAACAAGTGAAAACCCAAAAGAACCTTATCCGGTTCGAACCAAATTTGACACCCTCTCACTAAAATAAGGATATCTTGAGTTAAGAGAAGAATATGAAACTAAAATTTTTACCATTGGAAATCTTACTTTGACGCGGTCTGTTTAGACTCAAGAACGGACTAATTTAGAGTTAAAATGAAAAAGTTACGACAGTTTGAAGTTGGAAGGCCAAAATTAAACCTGCAGAAAAAGTTCTGGAAGACTTGAACCGACTCTGAACCCCTGAACCAATTCAACATGGATAGAATGTCCATGTTGGACCTAAATCACACCTTAAACCAGTTCAGCCCCTCTGAACCAGTTCAACAACCCAGAACTGAACCAAAATAGTAAAAGTGCAGAAAAACCAGAAAAATGGAACCGACGCGGGGTTTTCGAGACCAAGATGACATTTTCCCAAAAAATTCCATGAATAACTCCCCCTAAAATCACATTTTCTATGTGACAAGGTCGAGACCGGAATTTATTTCCCAAAAGAAATCCTCAAAATGCCCTTAAACTAGAATATGTAAGAAAATTGTGAAATAAGTCCATAGGAGGCTCATTTCACCAAGGAAAAGGTTTTTCATGAAAACGATTATGCACACAGACGTAACTTACCTATTAGGACGTGCTACAATGATCTACGGCATAAAATTACCACCGATGCAAAATATGACCTATCCGAACCTCAATACATGAAAAATGCCTTTTAAAGGTAAACAATGCAACAACCGAACTTAAATGCAATCAAAAGACCATTTGGCCCTTGGTCACACCTCATGTATATTAAATGACACCCTATGAAAGAATAAAAATAGAATTCCCACACCCGATGCAAACATGATGAAGCAATGGCTTGACATTTTTCAATATTTTCATAATAAATCTTGAAAGTGAAAATACATAGAATACAAATTAGACGTCATTGGCCTATGGTCTCATCTCATACGTGCCAAATACATTGTAAAAGGTGTACTTATGTACACATTACATGTTTAGAATCAAATATACATATTTTTACATATAAGGCTACAAGTGGCATTTCAAGCCAACCTTTACAAGTATTAAAACCTTCAAGTTTAAAGCATAATGAGAATCTCGAACCTTGATTCTTGTACCTGGAAAATGTCCCCGGTAACTTTGGGGTGAGTAATATAAAGCTACTCGTAGGAGATAAGCATGCAAAGACATAATGTTTTACAAGTTTACATAATTTAATCATTATAGCTCATTCCACCTAGCATCTATGTCAAGAGCAAGACCCAAGGAGTATCTTAAGCTACCATAAAACATTTCTAGCATTAATTACATCATTCATGCAATTCAAACAATATAGAAGCATGTTATATGGAGCAACAAGATATAGATTCTCAAAGCCCTCAACTTGAAATCTAAAATACGAAAACAACTAAAGTGAGTCATGTCACATAACGTCTATGTTCCAAATGAATCTATAGGATCATTCCTAAGCTACATTTGAACATTGATAGCATAATGTACTTAACAATATTAAAACTGTGATGATCCATTAAAAATCATAATGCATAAATGTACTTAACAATATCGAAATTTGCAATGATTCATTAAAAATCATAATGCATAAATGTACTTAACAACATCAAAATCGCCAATAATCAAAACCACAAGTCACAATTAAACATTGGTTGTCAACTTAGAATTGAATGCGAAATCAAATAGTGGAAGACTTGGACATCAAATCTCGGAATAAAACTAAGACCTAAACAGTTATTCCGGGCACTAACCCACTGGGAATACTACCCTAGTGCGCACTAAAAATGGGGAGAACTCGTACCTTCCGCACTAGAGCCAAACTCTAGCCATGTATTTGTAACAATGTCCCAAGAGACTCCTCCAAAATCAATAAATAAGTTCACAATTTATACATAATTAAATAATGCACGAAACCATCTTCCATGCATAAAT